TCTGTTGCGTTTTGGGTGAAGAAAGCCACGTTGTTCCTTGCAAGACCACGTGCGGATGCCATGGTGGCGGGCTGTTTAGGGTTTAGGGTTTAGGGTTTAGGGGTAGCCATACCCGTGTCAATGCCTGTAGTACTGAGGCGCCTGCTCCCCATCAGCAGCTCCTGCAGCAAGTGCTGCCGGGTGGCACCTCAGGGCGTTCTGCACTTGCGCTTCAAGGATTCAGGGTTTACAGTAGGGTTTAGGGTTTAGGGTTTAGGGTTTAGGGTTGCATGACTGCAGGGTTCAGGTTACTATTCGTCTACGTGGGATGTAAAACGGAGTCTTTATGGGCTTTAAGGGGGGTTTCTTGCTCGACCCTCCCAGAGCCCATGAGCGTAGGTGTTATGGTTTTGGGTTTAGGGTTTAGGGTTTGGGATTGAGGTTTAGGGTTTAGGGTTTAGGGTTTAGGGTTTAGGGTTTAGGGTTTAGGGTACTTGGTGGTAACCAAGCTCCCAAACCGAAGGGTCAGAGGGAGAAGTCCTTTGCTGCTTCTACGGCCTGCAACAACCCGAGATGCCTTGTTTTGCCAGGCAAGATCACACTTTGACAGCGCGGCTTGCGCTCAGGTTTAGGGCTTTGGGTGTAGGGTTTAGGGTTTATAGGGTTTAGGGTTTAGCGTTTAGGGTTTAGGATGAACTAGCTGGCCTCAATTTCCCTGCGCAACGAAGAAAGGCTGCAGCCGCAGCCCCTGGTGGCTGGACAGCAGCAGTCTGATTCCCAGCGGCTCCCAGTGCTTGATGCTGTCACCGATAAGCAGCAGGCCTGCCTTTGTCAGAAGTGAGTGATGTTCTGATTTTTCGAATCAGATGCCCTAAACCCCCCTAAACCCTTAACCCTTAACCCTTAACCCTAAACCCTCAACCCTAACTAAACCCTAAGCCTAAACCCCAAAAACCCCAAAAACCCTAAACCCTAAACAGACGTGGCACTAGGCACCGCAGGGTCCAAGCAAGCACCATGCGGCATCTGGCGCCTGTCTCGCCACGCGCGGCCTGAGCTGGATCAGCCAAAAAGACTGCCGACGGGAAGATGTGGTCCTAAACCCTAATCCCAAAAACCCTGAATCCCTGAATACTTGACTCCCTCACCCTCAACCCTCAACCCTCCACCCTCAACCCTCAACCCTAAACCCCAAACCCTAAACCCTACCCGCGCAGTTCCCAGGCTCGCGCCTGCGCCGTGCCAGCCACCCCTGCTGCTTGGGCAGCAAGAGCTCGGATAGAGCCGTTTTTAGGGTTTAGGGTCTAGGGCTAGGGTTTAGGATTTAGGGTTTCGGGTTTAGGGTTTAGGGTTTAATAATAGGGTTTATAAGGGTTTAGGGTTTATGAGGGTTTAGGGTTTAGGTTTTAGGGTTCATCCCCACAAGGGCCTATTGACTTGGCCGCTCATACTTGGCAGCCGGGTGGTACCCTTTACACAAACAAGAGAGCCTTATTATAGGATGGTTGCTGGGCTACCAAGTTTCGTACTGTTGCCTAATGGATTCTGATATTGAGATATATTTTAGTTTATGATGATTATTGTATTGTCTATGATTGTATGTATTTATGTATTCCTGACTACTGCGTTATTGTATGATCGTATTCCAATATTTCGTACATCATATTTCTATGGGTTTAGGGGCACCAGGGGATTCTTGTGTTACTATATGTAGCACGTTATCAAGTGTATGATTCCCTTTGGCCCCTGTATCCTTCTCGGGGCTACCTGCCGTTCTTGTCCATTGTCCCGCTATCTATATATATATATATATATACATATATATATATATGTATGTATATGTGCATATTACGGCTGTTGCCTTTCGATGGATTTCGGTTTTCGGAGATCCAAGCTGATAGTGTTCAATTCTCTGCACATCTAGAGAGCATCGATGTGTTCCTGGCGGTATGTCAGGCACAGAGAGAGAGAGAGAGAGAGAGAGGCACAGAGAGAGTGAGAGAGTGAGAGAGCGAGAGAGCGAGAGAGCGAGAGAGTGAGAGAGCGAGAGAGCGAGAGAGCGAGAGAGCAAGAGAGTGAGAATGAGCGTGAGCGTGAGCCCATCTTCGGACAGCAGTGACTCATGGTAGGCTCCGCAATGGTGCTTGTTTTGTTTACCCTAACCCTCCGCCCTGATGGGGCACGCAGCTGCGAAAGAGATTGTTGTAGTATACTCATCCGGAAGTTCTGCGGGCACCAAGAACTACCTGGGACTATTTACCTACAGTTTCGTAGTAACTACCCTTAAACCATAGGCATAACCCCAGCAAAAAAATAAGAAAAACAAAACTTATAAACAACGGCAGGTAAAGAGGGTCAAGGGTAAACCCTAAACCCTAAACCCTAAACCCAGGTAAACCCGATAGCCACTATTCTCATTGCTGAAAGGATGGCCACCCCGGCGCAGGCTCCACCCGCGCCTGTCGAAGCTGAAGGCGGCTTTGTTCTGATATTTTCGGAAACCCTTCGGGATTTAGGGTTTAGGGTTTAGGGTTTAGGGTTATTCAGGGTTTAGGGGTTAGGGTTTAGGGTTTAGGGTTAGATGGGTTGAGTGGATGACACCAGAGCTCCAGGCAGAGGGTTGAGAGGGAGCAATCACTGGCATCGGACGCGCAGATGGGTCAACTTCTTGCAGGGCACAAGGGTCCCGAAGAGCATCGCCCCTACCTTCCAGGGGCGCTTTCAGAACATGTAACATGACAGCAGAAGCTTAACCCATCTATCCCTAAACCCTAAACCCTAAACCCTAAACCCTAAACCCTAAACCCTAAACCCTAAACCCTAAACCCTAGCTGCACAAGGGACACAGAGAGAAACAAGGGAACTCCTTGGCATGCTGGCTGTTTCCGGTATTCGCGAAGCTAAGACCAGGACGAATAAGGTACCGCTCTAGGGTTTAGGGTTTTTGGGTTTAGGGTTTAGGGTTTAGGGTTCAGGGTTTAGGGTTTAGGGTTTAGGGTTTAGGGTTCGAAAACCCAGACCCTGAACGAAAAACTTCTTGCAGGCCCCACTTTTGGGAAGCGGCATGGCCGCAGAAGAGCCGAGTTCGAGTGGAGCGTTGGAAGCCAGGTCCGAGGTCGACCCCCCCCTTCCCCCTCCGAACCCTGAGACTCAACCTGGGACCCCTCTTTACCTATAGCTTTAAGAGTTAGTAAGACCTATATGCAAATTAAGGGTAACTGCTACGAAACTGTAGGTAAATGGAGTGCCAGGTAGGACTTGTTCTCTCTTGGAGGCTGTTGCGCTTAGTTCCCGCTGCATGAAAACCTGCTTGATGTAGCTTATTGGTATCGGTCACTGACGTGCCCAAACTGACTTGTTCTCGACGAGTCTTTTCCATGATAGAGTGGATGGGATGGCAGGGGGTTGGACTAATTCTCAGGAGTAAATCCAGAAGTGCTGAACCCGAAACCTTAAACACCCCCCAAGAACCCAAGACCCTAAACCCTACACCACCGGGCCCTGGGAATTGTAGCAGGCCCCTCAGACCCGGTCAACGACTGTCAACGAGTTGACAGCAGTCCTGAGGTCGGCTGCCACGCCTGAGGCGCCCAAGGGTTCGGGTTTAGGGTTTAGGGTTTAGGGTTTCGGGCTTCGGGCTTCGGGTTTCGGGTTTTGGGGTTTAGGGTTTCGGGTTTCGGGTTTAGGGCCAGTTTCCAGGTTCAAAAGGGGAAGGGCAGTCCCTGCCATCGAACATAAAGCCTTCCAACTGTGAACGTGCCAAAAGCCTAGGGGCCGTCTGGGTCTGATGGGCCCAATTTGATTTTAACAACCACACCCGCTTGATGTGGTCCATCCTACGGAGGGCACTTCAACTCAAGCGCTCGACCACCACAATCACGAAACCCCAAACCCGCAACAACCTCGTGGCTCCCCGAGCTATGCAGGGGTTTGGTGCATGGGCAGGAATCCTCAAAGAAGGCTTCTTCATGTAGGATTCTGGGGGTCATAGCCTAATAGACCATCCATGTAAAAGTTTCAGGAGACAGGGGGTGGGGGGGGGGTTGTGGACATCGGTGGGTTTAAGGTTTAATTAGGGTTCAGGGTTCAGGGTTCAGGGTTCAGGGTTTAGGGTTTAGGGTTTAGGGTTTAGGGTTTAGGGTTTAGGGTTTAGGGTTTAGGGTTTAGGGTTTAGGGTTTAGGGTTTAGGGTCCCTAAACACTTTGAAAGCCAAAGCGTCCCAGGAGGAGGCCAAACGATGCCATCTCCACACGAAGCCGAACCGCTGGTGCAAAGCTTGTCCGGCCCCTGGAGAGCTTTTGGATTCAGGGTGTGTTCGGTTTCAGGGTTTAGGGTTAGGGTTTAGGGTTTAGGGTTTAGGATTTAGGGTTTAGGGTGGTTTCAGGGTAAAAAAGGGGCACACAACTTAGGGCTGAGGGTGTTCCTGGCGACACGCGTGAAGCCGGAAGCTCGCGGCGTTTGAGGGTTCAGGATTTGAGGTTCAGGGGCGGGTAATTGCCTTCCTAACTCTCACTGCTCTAACCCCTTACTAAGGGGCCATCATCGGGAGAAATGACCGCATAGCCCCACACTCTGCAAAGCCCATGTACACCAACAGGCGGGTTTCTTTGTAGGCTAAAACCCTATGAAGGTTCGCTTAGTGTGTTCGGGCTTCTAGGTCTTACAGGGTTGGCCAAGTCCTGCAGATCACTCTCCACAGCGGCATGTGTTTGAGCTGTCTGAAGCCATTTTGGAGCACTGTGTCGCAGACCGCACGCCCATCACCAACGTACCAGCAAGCCCGAAACCCACAACCCCAGCAAAAGCCGTGAGCAGCACAAACTCGCCCCGGCAAACAGGCACGGAAGCCCGCAGACATCGACTCTGCAAACTACACCCGGGTTTAGCGTTTAACGCTAAACCCTGAACCCTCGGACCCTCGACCTTACTTAGACCCCAAGCCCCTAGCCACGCAGCCATGATTGCGGCCTGAAAGCCGAGAGCAAAACAGTGGCCAAAGCTGCGAGTTCGCTTCCTATGCCATGCCGTCCCTGCTGGTGGCAACTGCGCCCGTCTCTTTGATCTGCCAGTAGCAACCCTTGACCCTGAACCCTACTTGGAGGTTCAGGGTACTTACGACCCCAGTTCTAACTGCACCTATCTGCACCTATAAGCCCCCCCAAGTATCCCCAAGTCCTCTAAGTAGGTTATTAATTAGACTTCCTGGGGTTAAAAAGTACCCATGCACCTCCAAGAAATCCTTCTTTTGGACGGTAAGGTTGGCCCGTCTAGGAACCCTAAACCCTAAACCCTAAACCGTGGTTTAGGGTTTATAGGGTTTAAACTAGCCACCCTTCTATTCGTTGGCTTCAGGGCTTTGCTGTGCGCCTGCTCCCAGCTGATGAGGACAAGAGTCTGGGTTCAAAAGAGACCTGGGCCCGAAACTCTAGCCCCTATAAGCCCTAAATCCTAAACCCTAAACCGCTAAACCCCGAACCCTAAACCCCGAACCCTAAACCCTAAAGCCTAAACCCTAAACCCCAATTGAGCTTAAGAGCGCTCCAGAACATCCCAGGTCTGGGCTCTGCCAATGCCTGGCGCTGGCCTCGGCCACACGACTGCACCGTCACATGGCCGCAGTGGTGGGCGAGTTGTGTTTGGGGTTTGGGGTTTGGGGTTTAGGGTTTTCGGTTTAGGGTTTAGGGTTTAGGGTTTAGGGGTTAGTTTAGGGTTTTCGGCTTTCGGTTTGAGAGCGGCTCTTGCGACGGAAAAGAGTGGAAACCGCCATCCTCCTTGCTTACCCAGGAACTGTCGCCCGATTGGTCAGATCTACGCATCTGGAATCGAGCTCTGCGAGAAGATGTGGGGCACGGCATTCCGATACGAACGCAACGATGCTCAGATTGATTGTCGGTTCAGTAGCACGAGTGCAGGCACCAACATGCGAACCACAAGGCCTACTTTGTTTCAGGCGGTTGTAATAAGGCCCTAGCACACAACAATGAGGTAGATCTGGCTATCCCTAAACCCTACACCCTAAACCCTAAACCCTAAACGTTGAAGGTTGTTCTAAAAGTCCATGATCGCCTTGCCAAAGGCTAACACTTTTCGCAAGAAATGGGCCATTTCCCTTGTGAGGGTTTTGTTAACAAACGTCAACTGACAAGGGCCCGGTAGAGTACTTGCGAGGTGTTTAGTTTAGGGTTTAGGGTTTAGGGTTTAGGGTTTAGGGTTTAGGGTTCAGGAGAGTATGTTCAAGTTACTTCCTAGTTCTTAGAGACTTCGAGGTTTAGGCACTTCTATTCACAAGGCTTGTAGAGCAGTAGGGTTTAGGGCACTAGAGCTTTCCCGAGTTCCCTACTGAGAATTCAGCGGCCAGAATCCGGCATGGAAGAAAACTTCAGGAAAGCCTGGCCTACAGCATGTGGTTTTTCGATACTGACAACCCAAACGACAAGGCCGGATACCTCACTTCGAGGTTGAGCCTTGCGGGGCTGATAGGGTTCAGGGTTTAGGGTTTAGGGTTTAGGGTTGAGGGTTTAGGGTTTAGGGTTTAGTAGTAGGGTTTCGGGTTTAGGGTGATGTAGCTTGATTCGATCTGAAGAGTGAATTAGGGTATCAGGCTACCAGGCGCCTTATATCCCCAGATAGAAGCCGTTCCAAGCGGTTCTATAGGGTACCTACTGATCGAATTCCGTACTGGAACCGGTAGGTAGCGCCGCATGCTGGGCTCACTGATAGGCTGAGGATCTGAGTTCGGGCTGGAGAGCTCATCTCGCGGTTTCACCCTAAACCCTAAACCCTAAACCCTGAACCCTAAACCCTGAACCCTAAACCCCAAACCCTAAACCCTAAACCCCAAACCCTAAACCCTAAACCCTAAACCCTAAACCCTAACCCTAAACCCTAAACCCTAAACCCTGAAGTGAGCGCAAGTTGCCTCGTTTGGGCGGAGGTGTCGTCGCGGCTGGGTAAAGGTGATGTCACATCCTGCCACCTGAAAGGCAAGAAGGATTGCGCTGGGCCTCGGTTGGGATGCTGTGTTTAGATTAGGGTTTAGGGTGTAGGGTTTAGGGTTTGGGGTTTAGGGTTTAGGGCTTAGGGCTTAGGGTGGTTTACAGGGTCTGGGATTCAAAGGTTTAGGGTCATTCAGTGCTTCAGTGTTCTGGGAGCGTGGGGACCTGCTACAGCTCTCAAATCGCCCCCTGGTGCTTAGTAGAGAAGCGAGGGAATTAGGGCCTTATTATACCCTTTAAGCCCGGGATTATGTAGAAACCCTTAACCCTAAGCCCTAAACCCATACTAAACCCCTAAACTCATAAACCCCGGAACCCCTAAACCCCTAAACCCCTATCCCCTTAACCCCGAAACCAGAAACTCCTCATTCCCTACAAAGACCCAGGGGGCTCAAAAACCCTAAACCCTAAACCCTAAACCCTAAACCCGAATCCAGCCTCGAGAGGAGGGTCCCGCGCCTATGGCGCCCACCTTGGCCGAGTGCCATCCTTGGAGGACGGTTAGGGTATAGGGTTTAGGGTTTAGGGTTTAGGGTTTAGGGTTTAGGGTTTCGGGTTTAGGGTTTAGGGTTTAGGGTTTAGGTTTGGTTTGTTGAGGGTCTAGGTGTAGAATTTTCCTAAATCCAGAGTTCAAAATCACAAGACTCATTAGACTAATGTTTTCTAGGTGCTACACCCAAACCTAGCAAGAATTGCAAGAAAAGTCTGAATCCAGACGAGACAGCGCTTCGGGAAAAAAGGGTTGAGCACGGCTTTGGGCTGAGGGCTTCGTTAGGTTTAAGGCTTTAGGGTTTAGGGTTTAGGGTGTAGGGTTTAGGGTTTACCGGATCCGCCTGGAGGACCAGCGCCTGCTGTTCGCAGAGCGAGGCTGGCGGTAACGGTTAGCAGCTTTAATGGTTCCACTGAGATTTAGGGTTTGCGAAAATAAGGGACCACAAAATAGACCCCAAATCGTAGGATTGCCTTAGAATAAGGACCTCAAAAAGGTACCCCTAATGTCGGGAACCCACATGTTGTGCGAAGCACTTGTTTCGGAACTTCGTGGGTTGGTTTTTTTGACCCCTGGAGTCCTTTAAATAAACCCTGAACCTTAAAACCCTGAACCGTGAAACCCTAAACACCCTTTAGAAGCTCGAAACTCAAAACCCTGAACCTTTGAAAGCCTTAAAGCCCTAAAAGCCCTTCAATCCCTAAACCTTCATGTCCTTAAAAGCCCTCAAGCTTTAACACCCTAAACCCTAAACCCTAGACCCTAAACCCTAAACCCTAAACCCTAAACCCTAAACCCTAAACCCTAAACAACCCCGAGGTGGCCTCTCTGGCGAAGCTGAAGCAAAGGCTTGGCCGGCAGTTCCAGTGGGACCCCTTGGTAGCCCAGTGGTACCCTTTTCCGTTTTTTTTTTTTGGTTGGAACCTTGAACCTTCTAAAGCAACCCATCTCAAAAGGGCGCCCTAAACCCTAAACCCTAAACCCTACGTAACCCTAAACCCTAAACCCTCAACCCTAAACCCTAAACCCTGAACCCTGAACCCTGAACCCTATGACAAGGTGGTCACTGGGCTACCAAGGACCGGTGCGGCCCACTGTCTCAGGACCCGCGCGGGAAGCGAGCTGTTGATCCGGAGCTTTTGGATCCCTGTGTCAGTTTTTGGGTAGGGTTTAGGGTTTAGGGTTTAGGGTTTAGGGTTTAGGGTTTAGGGTTTAGGGTTTAGGGTTTAGGGTTTAGGGTTTAGGCTTTAGGGTTTAGGGTTTAGGGTTTAGGGTTTCAGGGTTTAGGGTTTAGGGTTTCGGGTTTAGGGGTTTTAGGGTTTTAGGGTTTTAGGGTTTTAGGGTTTTAGGGTTTTAGGGTTTTAGGGTTTTAGGGTTTTAGGGTTTAGGGTTTTAGGGTTTAGGGTTTTAGGGTTAGGGTTTTAGGGTTTTAGGGTTTTAGGGTTTTAGGGTTTTAGGGTTTTAGGGTTTAGGGGTTTTAGGGTTTTAGGGGTTTTAGGGTTTTAGGGTTTTAGGGTTTAGGGTTTATAAGGTTGAGGTGAGGCATGGCCACTCCTTTGTTGGGGATGTTGCTGTCACAGCCCTCCTTCCCCTATTTTGGAGTAGACCCTGGGAAAAAGCGTTCATACTTATTATAGGTATAAGTAGCTATAATAGGAAGCCAAAACCAAAGGAAAAAGCTTTTCCTTTTTTAGGTGTTAAGCAGCGAGAATAGGAACCAACCCCTAAAGCCAAAGAAAGTCTTATAGTAAAAGCTTTTACTTTTTAGGTATAAGTAGCTAAAAAAGGAACCCAAAACCAAAGAAAGTAACCCTAAACCCTAAACCCCAAACCCCTAAACCCTTAGTACTCCGAAACCCTTCTTCTGGGCCGCACACTGGCTTGCGCAAGTCGAAACCCCAGGCATGCACGGTCGAGCAGTTTAGGGTTTAGGGGTTCACAGGGTTTAGGGTTTGGGGTTTGGGGTTTAGAGGGTTTAGAGGGTTTTTAGAGGGTTTAGGGCGGTTTCCAAGCACTACCTTCCCGGAGCACACAAGCCCAAAGTCTGGAACACTAAGAGCCTTAAACCCTAACCTTCAGGCTCTCCAAGGATTTTGAAACCCTCATTGTGGCCGCGTTCCGCGGGCATACCCGGCCGGTCATACCCGGTCATACCCGGTCATACCGTCCCGTGGTTTTCCGCAGTCGCGGTTTCCCGTCACAGTGGAAACCCTCAACAACCCTTAAAAAAACGCCCTACGCGGGAGAACTTTCAATGTCCACCCCTTACAACTGGGAGCCCAGTGGCACCGTTTTGTCCTTTTTTGGGTTCGGCCACTACAAGGGTTTCGGCCTGTGGCCACCCCTGCAGGAGTGTGAAAGGTTTCTTCGTGCAGGAGGCGTGCTTCTACGACTCTTCGCACAGCTGTTTCGATTAAGGGGTACAAGGATATACCTCATGTAGTCCCTATATACCTACGTAGCCCTACACAACCCCCAAACCCCTAAGGTCCCTTATAAGGGTCCTTCCTTTAGTCCCCGAACTTGAGAGCTTTGGGGTCCCGGCACCAGGGTTTCGAAGAGGGGTGCGACTGAAATCCTGAATTCCGAACTCGAAGCTCTGAGAACCCGAGGTGCGCCAACTTTCGTGGTTTATAACCTTAGGGTTCAGGGTGGTTAGTTTTGGGAGTTTAAGGTTTAGGGAGTTTAAGGTTTAAGGAGTTTAGGGTTTAGGGAGTTTAGGGAGTTTAGGGAGTTTAGGGAGTTTAGGGTTTAGGGAGTTTAGGGCTCCGGGTTTACTTCAAGGGCTTTAAAGTAGGGGGATGCTGTGGTCCCTTATTCGGGGATAAGGAGCCCTGCCTCGGGGAATCTGAATGAACCCCAGAATGCTTTATGGTTAAAATGGGTATTTCCCAAAGTAGGGGTACCCCTTTCATACCCCACATAGAGGAAATCCCCTTAAAGGGACCCCCCCCCAAAAGAAAGGGTACCCCGATTTTCGGAAACCGCCATACGCCAGAGGTTATCGCATAAGACACCAGTGTTAGAGTTCATGAGGTCCCCCAAAGCTGGTAACAACCACACCTTGTGATGTCCCCCGTTATACTAACAGTCCTTAATAGGGATTATAGTACCCCCTGTCATAATACTTATGAAGGACTGTTAGTATAATTAAAGGGGGAACGACCCAAGTTAGGCCTAAAACCCTAAACCCTATACCCTAAACCCTAAACCCTAAACCCTAAACCCCAAACCCCAAACCCCAAACCCTAAACCCCACACCACACACCCAAGGAGTGCGACCCCAACGCGGGCCTCTACCGCAAGTACAACGCCAGCGCCTACGACCCCCGGTGCGATGTTGAGAGTGCAGCCTATCAGCCCTGGTACGCTGCGAGCCTGATCTGCCGCTGGGATTTATAGGTATAGGGTTTAGGGTTTAGGGTTTAGGGCTTAGGGCTTAGGGCTTAGGGCTTATTAGGGTTTAGGGTTTAGGGTTTAGGGTTTAGGGTTTAGGCCAACTCTTGCAGGTTTGGGGGTGTGGGACTGACTTGCAGGGCTTCAAGGGCTTCTGTGGGCTTACCAGGCTCCAGCTGTTCAGGGTGAGGTGTGCGATGAGTTCGTTGTCCAAGGCTTGGAAGTAGATCCCCGTGTAGATAGAACAAGTGATCTAGCTTCCGTTCGCGCGCGCGAGGTGTGGCCAAGCCCCTCAGAATCCAAAAATGAAGGAAGTGCGGTGTTTCATAGGAATCCCAAAGAAGACGGCCAGAGCTACACCCGAGGTTTCGGGGCCAAGTTTCCCTGGTCCTCTATAGTTCCCTGATTCTTCCACTCCCCGAGGTAGCCACAACCAGTGGGAGCTGCACCAGTTGCCAATTCGAGCCTCCTACTGCTGCTCGGACTTTCGTCCGACCTCTTCTCATGGGCCCTACTACCTACTACCCCCCTCTAACTGTATACTACCCCCCCCCCCCTCCCAGGTTCCCCCCAGAATTAAGGCTATTTCGGGATTACTTAGATTAACTAAGCTTACTTAAGAGTGGAACCTAGGAGGGGTCGTAGGGACACCCATGATCTTTATAAGACCTGAAGAGCTGACATCACTAAGACACAGAGGCTGCGTGGGCTTCGGTGCATACAGCTACTTGCAGCGGTGCAATTGTCTTGGCACCGCCAGGGCTGCATGTTTGGGCCATTCTGGTACTTACACAGTTGCATGTTCGTGGAAACAACTTGTCGGCCATGTACATATTTGTTTTCTGCAGCCACAACTTAGGCGACGCCTGGTTTGCAGCTTGTCGACAGGCCCAGGGTAAATGCGGACCGTCGTGGGTTTGCTGTGCACCGCCCGTCCTGGTGAGGAAAAATTCTGCGCCGACGCGTCCGGAGACTTCTTCTCTTGCCAAGGCGCGCTTGGGTTGCCGTCGTGTCCCCCTGATATGTTGAACCCGCAACATGAATCATGGCTCCACAGAGAATTTTCGCAGAGCCTCTGCTCCTGTCTTGCAATATGCAAAGTGCCGGGAACCCCCTAAGCCCTAAACCCCAAACCCTAAACCCTAAACCCTAAACCCCAAACCCCAAACCCTAAACCCTACTCCGGGATTCTGAAGAGGCGTGTACACGACCGTTGACGTGGAGGCCCAGATCGTGAACAACACCTGGGGAGCGCTGTCCCGAGGTCCGAGGGGTTTAGGGGTTTAGGGTTTAGGGGTTAGGGGTTAGGGTTTAGGGTTTAGGGTGTAGGGTTTAGGGTTTAGGGTTTAGGGTTTAGGGTTTAGGGTTTAGGGCCGACTGCCCCAAGCCCGGATGCAAAAGGGTTTAGGGTTCAGGGTTCAGGGTTCAGGGTTTAGGGTTCAGGGTTTAGGGTTTAGGGTTTGGGCCACTGATGCTTTGGACACAGGGGAGCCCAACCAACACAAACGAGACAACCATGACCTCAGATCTGGCGACTCTTGCGAACCGAACACCTTTCCTTCCTTGCGGGATGATCCAGAAGGCTTCGTGCGACATTTTGTTGCACAGGCGAAGAGTGATGCGGAGGTGGTAAAGGGGTTGCAAGCCATTTTGTCCGATCTCCAACGAGAGCACAGGGAGGCCCCTCGCGGTGAACGACGCTCATGGCTCATTCGTTTGTGCGTGATACTTCGTGAAGAGATTCGCAAACATGGCGGCACGGTCAGCTCGAGAACACTTGTCAATCAGTAGGTTCATTCTGTGTCTGGCTTTGTTCGGAGAACAAGCGCGACACATCCAGGCGAGGATTCACGCAAGCCTGCAGCAAAAGGGTTTGGGCCAGGTTAGGGTTCAGAGTTCAAAAGGGTTTAGGTTTAGGGTTTAGGGTCTGACGTTTGCGGCCATTTTGGCTCAAGCTGCAGTTGATGATGAATGCGGCGCGCCAGGAAGGCTCTCGCCGCACCCGCATGCGCAACTCGCAGCGGCGGTGAGGCGAGCCTTGGTATCCTGGTTGGCCGCCTGGTCGTGGAGCTGCAGGAGCCGGTCCTGGAGCCTTTAGGACTTGGGGTTTAGGGTTTAGGGTCTAGGGATCAGCCAACTATAGATTTGGCAACCGTTCGGCCACGTGCCTCGACTTTGCAGCTGTCAGCCAGCCAGTGACTATGCGACGTATCCCTCGTCAACTAGACATCAAAGTTGTCCCAGGTTCACGCGTGGAGCTCGGTTGTGATCACGAAAGGGTTTCACTTGAATTGGTCTTGGGACAAAGGTTGACACATCGGAAGCTTCCTCGCAACTCCCAAGTTGCTCATGGCGGGTGTGGACGCTACTCTGTAGGGCAGGGTTTGCCGGATTGTCTGCGATGTGTTGTCGATGATGTGACAAAGTTGGATCTGCACTGGCGCAAGCCTCTGACGCACATTGGTACCACTGAATCTCTGTCCACTCCCCTAGAGATCGCGAGTAGTTTCTTTAGATTCTCGCGCCAATTTTGCTGTGTATATGCGACCGTATCCAAAAGAACGGATTCTCGACGTATCTGGAAAAAGGATTCTTAAGAGGCCGCAAGTACTGAAAATTGATTCCGTATGTATTTTCGACGCATGTCCATGTTTTTGCAACCATATCTAAACAGTATCTAAAAACGTATCTATTCGTATCTAACCATATCTATTTGTAACTGTTCGTATCTATTTCCGGCAATCATCATGAGGCAGCCAGCATCAACATTTTGGCAACTTTTTTTTTATTTCCGTACTTGAAAGCCCCCCGCCCAAAACCCAGACGTGGTCGCTGATCTTCAACGTTACACCTGCAAGCTAGGCCAAAGTACTGGTGTCCAGGAGTGCGAGGATTTCGGGGTGTAGGGGTTCGGCGGTTTTGGGTTTGGGGGCCTAATGGGTTTAAGCATTTTGTTCGTGGGTTTGGGGTTATCAGGGCTGTCGAAGGGGTACGTCTAGGGCTTGTGCCGTGCGGGGGCTTAACGTTCAGGGGGTTTAGGGCTCACGGCTTTAGGTCGAATAATGTAATTAAGGGGTGTTTCGGGGCTCAGCGGGGCTCAGCGGTTTCACGTAGAAGGGTTTCGTGTTTTGTTCACGGGCTTCTGTGGCTTGGTGTATAATAAGGGTTTTAGGGCTTAGGGGTGGGAAGGCTGAAGGCTTTAGTTTCAGAACAGTTCAATGTGTTTGCCCCTACAAAGCCCAGGCAGATACGCCTAACCTCCTACACCGCTAAACCCTCAGACTTCTCAACGTAAATCCTGTGACCGACCCTTCAACACCGACCCTGTAAGCCACGAATTAATTACTAATCTTCGCGCAAAATACCCGAACCCGCGTGCATGTACAAACCGACAGAATTAACAAACCTGATGAAAGCCTTTATTCCTGACTTAAATTCCTTAACACAAAAACCTTTGTTTTGAACAGCATGGGTTGGGGTTGGAGACCAAACTCCGACACCGCTGAGCACAAGCCTGTTTGGACTTGACGCCGACCTCGGGGAACACAGGTTCCAGTGTATGCAGGCCCTATAGCTGGCATTTGCAGGATGGCTCGCGCGCACGTGCTGACCGACCAGGAGCTCATGCAGTGGAGAAGACTTTCTGTCGAGCACATGTTTCACTATGCCTGCTGTGATTTCTGCGTGTGTCCGAAGTTTCACGATTTTCAACATCTGCCACAGCATATCCTGATGGCCGGAGTGCCCCGAACATACTGGGTGTACTCTGACGAAGCCAAAAAACAGGCAGGTAAAGACCTTGTGGAGCAGCGTGTCGAAAGGACACTCCATGCACCAGCAGGTCATGCTCAGGCTTCTGTGGCTGCAGGTGCCGGAGTGCTGCTGAAAACACGCTGCCCTGGTGTTGACGGTGTTGGGTTCGGTTTGTTGCGTAAGGTAAAGTAGGTTAAAAGGCGCGAGTCGGAAAAGGACTGATGTGTCACACCGAGTGGACTTCGTGACTAAACCCAAAACCCGAACGTGCTGCTGCTGCTGCTGCTGCTGCTGCTGCTGCTGCTGCTGCCGGCGCCGCCGCCGCCGCCGCCGCTGCCGCCGCTGCCGCCGCCCATGTTCAAGCTTATAAGCTTGAATATGGGCAATAAGCTTATATATATATATACACGGTTCTGTCTATCTTGATATGTATATAATTCTAATTTCTTCCCTTCTCGTCTCATTATCAAAAAAGCGTATCACAACGTCTCTATAACGCCCGTATCTAAAAACCGCATCTACACGTATGTATAAAGATATGTATTTTGGGTGAGTATTTAAAGTATCAAAAATTCGTATCTATTATGCTGCAAAACACGTCTAATCTTATCTCAGCGCATCTATTCGTATCTATCTGTATATCTATTTGTACAAAAACGGGCTGTGTCGGACCGTATGCGAAAATCTATTTTGCTCCCGCCACAGCAAAAGCACTATTTTTTTGGTTGCGCAGAACGCCAAACATAGATAGTGTCTATTTTCAGAAAACCCCACCAGGCGCAGCACGAAAAACAGATATGGCTCTTGATCTCTAGGGTCTGTTGTTTCCTGGTGCCAAGCGCCGTGCCAATCAGGCGTTCCATGAACTTCGTGCCGTGCTCAAGGGGTTACGATGGGGTGAGCCTGAGCTGGGTTTCAGACCGGCTAACCGATACGTCTTTCCTACTTTTGGATGGTATGCCCCAGTCATGTTCCCCGCGCAAGCGCTCATGCTGTCTCTGACCATGCTGCATGTCACCATCATGATCGGTATCCTCTTCCTGCCACATGCAGCTTCGGAAGAGATTGCCTTGTCCTTACACCGTGTGAGGCGCAGGGCGATATACATCATGCTAAATCACTTCAGCTGGACCTTTCAATGGAGATTTGCGTACTTGGAGTTATATTGGACATGTAGGCCAGATTCCAGTTCGGT